GAAATCTTTAATGTAATTCTTCTATTACTTAATAAAGTTTCTACTTTGGCATTTCAAAAAAAAAAAAAAAAAAAAAAGAACAAATAAAATATAAAATTGCAATTCAAAGATGAATCTGCTTAGGTTAATCAATAACAATTAAAATGATATATCTTTTTTAAATATATTATTGTATAAACAAAATATCTATAATTGCATTAATAACTTTAATATATTTATTCAAATTATAAAGAATATTTTGTTGCAAATTGATAAGAATGATATTTTTTATTAAGCAAGCATTTTGTTATTCCTTTAGCCTAATATTATAACTATATAGTTAATTCTTTCAGTTTTGTACCATTATTAACAGTATGAAATCTTTAATATCAATTATGTAAAAGACTATAAAATCTTATAAATCTATTTTCTATATTTATTTTATTAATTCTGTATTAACTAATACAGAGTTATAAAGATTTAATTTTGAAATTACCTGTTGAGTCATAATTAAATTTATTAGAATTGTTGCCAAATGCACAACTATTGATGTAATAATTATATTTGACATTTGCTTCAAATAAATACTATAGTAATTATCAATATTTAATATTATATTATTCTTTTTATACTTAATAAAAACAAAATTAACAGCTTTCTTATACTCTTCAGATATAGCTACCTTATATTACTAAATTATATATAACATTATAATAACATCTAAATTAGCAAGAATATTTATAAAAGTATTAAAAGAACTAGTAAAATCTATATGAATTGTAATATTTATTTTATATTATTTAAAAACTTGTTACAGATTTCACAAAAAAAATAACAAACAAATAAAAAGAAGTTTCAAGATCAGTGAACCTAGTGATATTTTCATGATAATCATATTAGATGATTAAATACTCAGTTTAAATTAGAATAAGTTTTAGAATTAGATGATAGTATATCTTAAACCAATTTGTTAATGCTAATAAACCAATAATGTAATTACATGATTTTATATGATATGATAATTACTAGGTTTATTGATCTTGAAGTGTTCTCAAATAAAAACTGTTTTTTGTCTCATTTTTATTTTTTGATGATAGGTTAAATAACAAAAATAATTTAGTAAAAAAAGACTTTAATCTCATTCTTTTTTTTTATAATTTCTTTAAATTTATCAAACATATATACTATATGTTGGTTTTTTTTTTATAAGTAAATAAAATCAGGTGTAAGTCCCATAACTTAATGGTTAAGCTCTTATATTTTTATAATCAAGATTAATGATTCAAGTTTAACTGAAGACAAAATTGAAAAATTTTAGTTTCTGTAACCTATAAGGAATCTGTAATTAAACATGAAACTCTATAATCAAATCCAAATACAATACATGATAAAAAAAGAAATTTCTAAAAAGTAATTAACTCTGTAGAGTGTAAACACTATGTGTGATAACAGCATCACAGAAAGTTCTGTTATATAAAAGTTTGTATATATAAGTTCTTTAAAGATGAGAAAATACTAATATCTCTGCATCTAACTTATGAAATACTTGATTGAAAGAATGATATCAAAATAACATAAACTGGAATGATGAAAAAAATAGTATATGTATAAAAGGTTTGTGATAAAAGATTAATCTTATTAAGATTAGAAACACCTCTGATATTATGAAATGTCTAAAAATAGAAGATAATTATTTGTATAGAGAAATTATAACCTGTTCTGTACATCTAAAAATTCTAAACCAAAACTCTAATCACATCTATATAAAAATCTATAACAAAACAAATAGAACATATCAATATAAATATTATACCAATTATAGTTGAGATATTTAAATTGGAAATTAAAACTTCTAGAATTTTATGTTAGTAATAAAAATACCAATTTATGACTAAAAGAGAATATATATCTATTTCTAAAATAAAGTTTCATTTATATCATAAAAGAAAATACTTAAAAAACAAATTAGATGTACAATTCATTAAACATGATGCTAAGACCAAAAAGGGTTGCAAATCAACAATAGTAGCAAGAACTTGACTTAAAATACATATTACTAATACCTAAATTGAAAAGTTAGCAATGACAGCAGAAACCTAACTTGAAATACATACTAAAAAAACACTCTTTAGGCAAACCAAAAATGATAACTCAAAAGAAGCAAATAACTCAATAAACCAATTTGAGAATTGTTAAAATAAGTTGTAAAACATGGGAAGAATATGCAGGTTACCTAATATAATTAGTAGTAAAACAAAAATCCAGGTTAGATGTAAGTAGAAAACAATACAAAACTCTAATAAGTTTAGGTCACAGATAAATATGTCTGAATCCTATGTTTAAAATAAATATATAGTAATAGATAATGTATAAATAGACTTGTACTAGCTATGACAAATATACTAATAAAGACTAGAGGGCATGACCTCACCTTATATAAAAAAAAAAAACAAGTAAATAAAATTTTTGTTAGTACTGCTATTGCTTGAGAAAATGACAAAGTAGAATTAGTAATTTGCTTTCAATCTTGTCTATTTCCTTATACTCATTTTCTTCTGTAATAGTCTGAGAATGTTGCTTAAATTCAGACGAATAGTTTACTATAATTCTGTTATAACAGGCCAAACAGACTGTATTATTTAGACGAACATAGCTTGGCAAAGTACTATTAGCTTGGGCTTTAGAAAGAAAGTTCTCAGTTACCTTTCTCCACTGAGTCGACTGTCTCTGACAAATAGTAATAATGCACAGACCAATAAGAGGAGTAGTTGGAGGCATATTTTTCTCTTCTAAATAAAAGTTGCCGAGAATGTTAATTATCTCTTGATTATTTTGCACAATAGTTGTTAGCGCCTTTTCGAAGCTATCTACGATTAAATTTTAAAGCACATAATAGTTACCCGGGCAATTGAATCGAGCAGCCAATCAGATGAATGTCGGCCTATGATTTGCACGTCCGCGTACAACACTGTCCATATAACGATCAAAACAACTAAAACAACTGTTCGGGGGGGTTTTTTTTTTTTTGCGTTCTAATTAAAATTGTACCGTTACGTGATAGTACAAAAAATTCATAAGTTCGTTAAGATGATTACATTACAGCATTAGTGTTAGGGTTTAAAGTTAGAAGAGCATATAGTAAATTTGCTTAGGAAAATTTTTTGGCGATGCTGGGGAAGATGTGTCCGTAGACTTTCCGTTTAATTAAAACGATTAAACCGTCAAAATCACGTGGGTACATGTCCCCAAATAAGGAGACTTGAAATTTGTGTGAATTGTTTGAATTTTCAAGTTTTTCGCGTAATCGCCAAAGCTTCAATGAATGTCTGCATTAGAGAATTTACAGGTACATTATTGACAGACTATAATTTCTTACATTATTTCATTATTTAATGTAATTAATAAATTTTATAACTAGAATGGCTTCGAAGGCGTTTTATTGGCTTTCAAACAGTTTAGTCAAGGAGCTGACACGTAATGATATGCTGCATTTTTTTGGTTCAGCTTGATCCATGCGTTCCTCTTATAGTAATTTTTCGTTGATTAATCAAAGAAAAACACGCTGCGATTTTCTTATCCCCCCACTGCTAAGATTGTTTGATTTATCAAGTGACATTGATACCAACAAATACATTGTCCATTCGCTTTTATACAAAGCATGGCAACAATCATTAATGACTACAGGTGTTTTTTAATTATAGGGAAAAAATTTTGGTTTCTTATCAAACATCGACGACAATGCTAATGCGTTTTTTTTTTTGAAACTATACGTTAAATTCGCTAAATTAGCTGAAGATGAATTAAATTATAATGTCATCCGTGCCATTAATAATATAGATACAGAGCTTTACTTACAACTTGTCCAAGGCTTAAAATTGGAAAATGAATTTATTCAAACATTGTATGCAATTCCACGACAGGTAATTTTTGCATGATTATTAAGTTGTCAACAAATTCGTACAAAAATAATAAGTTATTCAAAAATTAGGTGATTTTGATGCTCATTCAAGAAATAGAACGTTGGGATCCACAATTCTGTTTGAGAATTGCATATGATCCAGCTTTATATATATTAAATAGTCTTGACATTAAGCATCGAAAAGAATTGCTGGCGATCTTGGCTCGTTTGATTATATCTAATGCTACTTCAATTACAGGTATTATTATAATGTCCGTTTACGACAATTTACTCTTATTTTATTCTCATTGATCATTTGTATTTAGAGGATCATCAGCGACTTGAATTAATTAGATCGACAGCCAAACATATAGAAAATTATTTGAGCCCTGTCTCACTTGAAAGCATTTCTGACCATGAGCTTATTTCAAAAAGTAACGAATATAACGTCGTTGTAGATTATATGTTTTCAACACCTTTCTATTCTTATCAATCCGTGAGGCCATCATACAAAGTCCGACAACAAATTGTTCGTAATGTCTCCCGACAAGAAAGTCTTCGAATAGACACTGTCCTGTACGCTACTTTTATTTTTAGCATCTCTATATTGTGCTTCACTAATCTCAACTTCTAATTTTAGACTTATTGAAGATTTGCTACTTAACCCAATCTTATCAACAGATGAGGACACATACTGTATATTTACTCTTTTGGCAATTTTTGACTACATAATATTTGTCGCGTGGTTCAACCAAGATTTGAAAGATCGTGTGAAGTCTTCGATATCGTTGATTCTTCGCAAAACGGTTCTAAAGTTGATAAAATCAAGTAAACGTTTATTCTTTCATAGTGCTTCGCAAAATTAAGTCAAAATTTGTATTTGAATTAAATATTTGAAAAGATTTGATTTGACTTGATTTTGCGGAGTACTAATTTTTGCAATGTGACGACATTATTGTAAATATTTGATGGTTAAGGTATTTCATACTTCAAAAATATAATTTTTTTTTTACATCAGATTATTTTACAAAGTTGAAGTCTGAACCCACCAGTGTTGAAAGAAATGCACTTTCGAATTTATTTAAATATGCGAGTGATATCGATTCTCAGCAACAACCTTTTAAACTTAAAGTATTATGCTTTAAACACTCTTTTTGTATGATATCGTACTTCAAGTCAATTAATTAATTTATTTGCTTGTAGCCACGTTCAGACTTAGTTATTAAACTGTAAGTTATTATTTCTGTACAATTGTGATCATTATTAATAATGTTTTAAATAGCCATTTATTCATAAAATTTCCTAACAAATTAGGCAAGAAGATAAAACTCGGCATGTGAATGTAATCGATCATGTGAAGAATTATGATTTAAATCAATTTGAGATTTCGACTACAACGGCTAAAGATATTGACCTGAATAAGCACGAAGAGGCATTTGTCACAATATGTCGCACAGTCCGCGCAAATCTTGCATACGATACATCGTTTACCCTTCGAATAACCAATTCCAAGTTATTTTCTGAATTGAGTCCCTCTACAGGACGCCCTGTTAGAAAGGATCTTGAAGAGTATTGTCGATGGGTACAAGAGAGCATATCTCTTGGTCTTCCTGGCTATATATCCCTCTTAAAATTGATGATTCAATATTTTGATCTTTTCGTTGGGTGTGTTTTTCGTATAGCTTTTGAAAATTGTTCTTAGCAATTAAATACATGCTTAACGATTCAAACTTACCATTTTAATTATGTCTCGTGAATGTTACAGATTTGACTACAATGTTGAGCAACTTGCAGTTATGATCCTTGAGCATGGCCTATGCACTGAGTTATATCAAAGTGTCAAGAGAATTATTAAAGTATTTCTTCCCAAAGAGCACAATAAAATAGTTAGAGTACGCATTATTCTAATTAAAATTTTCTTGATTTAAATAGGAAATTGATATTTCCACACCCTTTTTTGATGTTGCACACCTCTGCTAACTCCAAACCTAACCAAAATCTTAATAATCTATGTTGATTTTTATTAACAGGGATGTGGCAATATTAAAAAAGGTGTGGAAATATCAATTTCCTTTAAATATTGTTTTTCACACTACTTTTTTTTTATCAGGCTGTTATTGTATTGTTACTTAAGACATTTGGTTTTATGTCCCTACGTACAAGAAATGTATTTCGAGATTTTGTACTTTCAGATAGGTATGTTTTTATGAAATTTATGATTACAATAATTTTACACATTGTAATTTTCTATTAATTAATGCTTATTCATTTACATATGTAAGATTGCCTACTTCTGCAATCGCATCGCCGACTTTCGATTCCTGGACAATCTGGCTTTTTGATTTTGAACAACGACTTACCACGATATGTAATCAATTGGTCTCTTCGTTGGACCACATCCCTACAAAATCAACAGGAAACCAAACATTGGGCCAATTTGATCCACTTAAATTGCAAATAATAGATTCACTAATTTTGGTAATTATTTTGTCATTTCTGTGATTTTTCATTGTCATCATTCTTATCTTTTGTTTGTCCCTTGAAAGTTATCTTTGATATCACCTTATCACGTACTACACCGACTTGTGTGGGAGTCCATTCATAATAAAGGACAATGGCTGATAATTCTTGACATCATACGTGATGTAAGATCTATTTGTTGGCTTCGTCAAACTCCAAAATCACCCTCACTGTTCATCATTGTGCTTAAAGATATATTGAGTCAAATTGACGATGGATCCGTTGTTTTGACACATCAGGAACAAAAGAATTGGAATGAATTCGTAGTGCATGCGATGCTGGTAAAGGTTTATTGGATAGAAATTCTGATATATCTTTTCGTTTTCATAGTCAGTTTAATATGCATCATTTGGTACAAAAATAGGGCAATACTACCAAGTCAGCTATAGAGTATACATTAACAGAAATTGGGGAGTGGGGTAATAGCGAAATCTTAATCGATATCCCTGAATACCTTGCTTATTGCATATTGACATATTTGCAGAATTCATCTACATCTCTTGGCAAAAAAACCACCTTATATTTGGCACTTTACACTCTTAATTCATTGTTGCTTCCTAGTGTATCTACTCCTCGATTCGACTTATGTTGGTTTATGAAATCTGAGCCATTTTCACTTTTACATAGTCTTGCTCTATTGTTTGATCGACGTGAAACAATTGTGATTAGTATGAAAACTGTGGATATTCTTTATGCCTTACTAAAGGAATTTATGAGACTATTAACTGAATATGTCACGTCAATTCAAGACGATTATAATCAAGATGGTAAGGAATTTTTATCGAATGCGCCAAAAATGTGTTATGTCAAACAATTAGGGTTGTTAATGGGTTGGGTTGGAGTGGGTTGGGTTGAAATATTCCTCCACCCACTCCAGCTTGGATTGGGGTTCACTCTGGAGCCACTTCAGGTTTGCTTATAGCTGCTCCAGTTTACTCCAGTTTCATTCCAACATATTTCTCATATTTTTAACTCACTCCAACTTGGGTTGGGCTCACTCCAGAGCTGTTCCGGAGTATGTCACTCCCTTAACAACCCTATTAACAATAATGTATGTACCCATTTATTAGAAATGCATAGGTCCAATTCTTTCGTTGTTCAACACTTTTATAAGGAATCTTTAAATTTTAGTGAGTAAAAAATTTTATAATTATTCCTTAACAATTTTCAAGAGTCTTTTTGACAATCACTATTATTATTTTTTTTAAGGTTGGGCTACTCAATTGTATTTCCGTCCATTCCTCGAAACCTGTGCGAATTGTTTTGGTTTCCAAATAGAAAAACCTTTTGTACCGGTTTTGTTATCTTCTTTTTGTGAATTATCTGATCATGAATTCACAATAAGTGACAGAAAGGAAATTAGTGTACTTGATCAAGAGAAAACGATGAAGCAATCATTGTTATTTTTAGAAGCTTGTAGAATTTCAATTGATTGGTGCAAGAAATTCAGCATGGTATTTAATATTTTAATATTGTACTAATTGATCATATAGATAATAAAATGTTCACTTAATTAATATAATTAATATCGAACATTATATTAACCAACACTTCAGTCACTCAATATTGCTAAATCTATCTCAAAGCCAATTATTCGAAATATTTTCTTGACCATTGCTCCTTTTTCGTTCTGCTTTGTTCTTGAAAAATGTGTAGATGAAGAATCTATAAATATATTAGATGTGCTGTTAAAGGATTTAATTTCATATGGTATTTTATCGGCAACTGAATTGTTATTGGCTGACATAGAATGTAATGATATGACCGAGCATGTTATATCCGAATTTGCAATTCAAGGTTATTTTTTTAAAATTTTTTATTATGAATTTATTGGAAAGAACTACTAACAGAAGACTTTATCAGAAAGAATATCGTTGTGCTGTGTGAGGTATTCATTAATAAATATCTTATCGGCTCTAAAACATATCAAAGAGAAATCAATCAAGCAGAAAAGAGAAGATACAACATTATTTTTTGAAGGAAATGATGATTATACGCATCCTGGGACGATTAACGATTTACATATAACTCAAAACATCATAAATGTGCTAAAGGTACCTATTTTTTTTTCTTTAAGATTAATTTAAGATCATTGTTTAAAATCTTATTTGTCTTCAGGCTAGCCTTATTACCCAGACTGCTAGTTTGAATTTTTTAGTTTATATATTTTACACTATTACACAAGCGCTTGTTATACTATCAGACTTTTCCAAGTCTGAGGAGAGCTTGTACATATTCTTGCTGACAGTTGTTGAAATGATAGAAAAAACTTGTATACGTGGATTATCTAATGATGAGAAGGAACCTGTTAACACTACCAAAACCGGTAAAAAGCAACGTAAAAAAAAGAACGACAACGTTGCAAATACAGAAAATATGGTAGGATCAATAACTGAAGAATCTACTCTTGTTGGAATTGAAAATGATAAGTTTTCAGAATGGCGAGTAAGATTATTCTTAAGTGGAATTGATAAAATTAAAAAGCAAAGTTGGAGAAATGCTGTAAAGCAAGTGTTAAAACCTTACGTATAATATAAATAAAAAAATTATTAGAAACATATTTTATAATTATTAAAATTATTAACAAGATTGTTAAAATGAAAAATATATATATATATTTATAAGCTTATATATTTTGAGAGAATTTCTATTTGTACCCGGCGGGTACATACCCGGGTATAAGAAAAAAACAAATCATTAATATCTTAAAATTTTATTAAGAAAACTGGTGTAGGTGCTTTAAGTAAAAATGTTTAGCATCTAATTTTGCTTATAAATACACCTTTAATTTATCTTAACTTATTTTAACCTAATATGTTATATGGAGTTTTTGTTTTGAAAATCAAGTATGAGATATATAATTTACTATATTTTATAATTTAATTTTCAAGGCAAAGACCTTATATATTTTCTTATACTAGGTATCATATCCTATAGATATTTTTAGAAATTTATATATATATTTGATGTTAAGACGATTTCTTTGGTTTTTTGACTTTTATTAATTTTTTTGGTAATGTGATTCTATGAACTACTACAAGAAGAGTATACAATTAGTTACACATGTAATTTATTATTATTATTTATTTAAGAAGTCTGTTTAAAGGTTTCTTACTAATTTCTATATTTAACATTTTTGCTTGAGTGTTCTATTTTAAATCTTCTAAATCTGCATTTGTATTAACATTACTAGATTATATTTAGGTTATTATTTCAACTTTCAAAATTATTTTATCTTTAAGATAAACTTTTTGAAATTTTCTGTACTTATTTTTATAGTTGATCTAATATTACTATAACAAAACCAATACTTGTAGTTAGGTTTAGTTATTAAATTATTATATTTTTATAGAGTTTATTTGAATTCTAGCATCTATTTTTTTTTTAAATATTAGCAGTGAGGTCATGTTTTAGCATTTACTTTATAGTATATTCAAATTATTTTAGTATATTTTTGTTTGTTTTTTAGACTTTTAATCTAGATAGTTTAGTAGAATTATAACTAATCAATTGATATATTAGATTGGCCTAACATCTTTTTTTTCTGATTCATTCTAGCAGTCTGGTTGGTAGTATCTTTATCTAAAATTCTTGTTTATTTAAATACTTTAACATTAATGCCTATTTTCTAAGCTTAGTTTTTATAGTAATATTATCAAAGATTTATATTACTTCTTTATTTAAATTTTTTTAAATAGATTTTTGTTTCTTAATTTTAATAAATTTATAAAGTTGGTATGGTAACCTAGTGAAGTAATCAGGTTGTCAACCCTTCAAGTGGTAGGTTAGATGTTCAAATCCCATTGATAGCAAAAATTTGGATAATCACTTATGTAATACTCATATTATGACAACTGTTACTAACAATTAGGTTAGGATATCTGTAATGGCAATCACACCAGTAAGACTGGTAGGTCATGGGCATTCATGTAATAGGTCATATGATATTGTTCTTTGGGACAAGGTTGTGGTTACATAAAGGAATGCAAACTAGCAATTAGGTGGTGCAAATACTAGATAAGTCTTTGTGGCTATGTAAATCCATTGAAATTAGGTAACAAGAAGTCCATTTGGAAAGATCTAAGTAGAGAGATAGTCAGATCTTCGATGGCCCTACTGTAAAGACTAGTCTTATGAAACAAATACCAAGATTGAAGTAGCCAAATAGGCAAAAACCTCTAGGTAGAAGGTACCACCAACCAGGCCACTGGATCAAGACAAAGGAAAAGGATATTAAGCCAACCTGATATACTAATGGACCAGTTGTAAGTTCTATCAGACTATCTGGATTGGGAGTTTGGTGAACTGACAGGGATATACTAAAGTATTTTGAATATATTGTGAAATAGATACTAGGGTTTATGTAAACTCTATAAGGGCATAGCAGTTTAATGATTAGCTATGACCACAAGTGTTGGTTCTGGCATAGTAATATCTAAGTCAGCTGTAAAAATAAATACAGAAGGCTCTGGGAGGTTTACCTCAAGAATAAATTAGTTCTAAGGTTGAGACGATGATCTGGATATCTGGAATAACCTAGTGATGTTAATACATATTACAGGTTTAGAGGGTTTAAAGTGAAACACAAGCAGGGGTGTTAGATATGACAATTGGTAGAGAACCTTTGAGCGGACTCCTTAAATAAGTAATATAGAAAAGTTACACATGTTGCCAATTATATGCTCTCTTGTAATAGTTCATTGAACCACAATATCGATAAGTGATTAATAAAAGTCAAAAGACCAAAAAGGTCATCTTAATACCAAAAAAAAAAAAAAATTTAATAAAAATATAAGCAAAATTTTACTTTAATTTAAAAAAAAAAAAAACTAATAAATAGAAAAAAAATAATAAATAAAATAAAATAAAAAAGTTAGAAAAGAAAAAATAAAGTAAAAAAAAACTAATAAATAATAGAAAAAAAATAAAGAAAAACAAATTAAAAAAGAAATTAGAAAAACAATATATTAAGAATTATTATAAAAAAAAATTCTTTTATTATAAACTTTAATAATTAAACAAGCAACCTATTTCTGTTTAAAATAATATAACAGATTACACTTAAGTACTATTATTATGACTAAATAATACAAGTCTAAGTTATTAAATATTTTTATATAATTACAAAAATAATTTTAAAAATCTTAATAAAATACTAAGAAAAATGTTAAAAATTAGATGATTTTTTAGAAGAAGAAAAAAGTAAAAGAGGTGTGGCGACTTAGTGAAGTGGATAAGTTGTCAACTCCCAAGTGGCAGTTTTAGAGTTCAAATCCCAGTGATAGTGAAAATTTGCAATTCTTTCTGTGTTATGGTTAACTGTCTTCTGTGATTGGTTGAGATAGGATACCTGTAATCTGTGTCATACCAGCATGACTAGAAGGTCTAAGGTACTCATACAACATTGTATAAGGAAACATAAACTGGTACCAGGCAGTGTGAACCCAAGATAAGTCCTTAGGCCATGTAAATCAAAGGAACCAGGTAGGAAGATGGAAGCCCATTTGGAAAACCCAAGTAGAGAGGTAACCTGAACTTTCAACAGTGCTACTGTAAAGACTAGACTTATGAAATGGAGCTAGAACTTGTGAAACCGGACAAATGTACTGGTCTTTAAGTAGAGACCAGATGAACCAACTAGGCCACTGGAATTTTCAGATTCTGAAGGAAAAGAGCACATGCTGGCAAACATGTAAACCAGAAGTGTATGGTTTCAACCTACCTTTCTGGGCTATCTGGAATAGTAGCTTAGTGGAACTTGAATTGAATACCAAAGTAGTAAGAATATGTTGTGAAGTCAGTATCGGGGTTGAGATAAACTCTACAAAGGCATAACGGTTTAATGATATGCCCTAACTACCAGTGTTAGTCTCAGCCATAGCAATACCAGGTCAACTGTAAGAATGGGATACAGAAGATTCTGAAAGGTTTAGTACAAAGTCAAAGGTTCCCTATGTGAGTGAACCACTTTAAAGACTTAATGACCATGACATATTTGAACTGGAATCGACAGGACATCTTGATAGGTGTAGGTAGATGGGTGGATACAGAAACAAAGTGGCTAAATAGGAAACCTACAAGTGGGTTTCAGGTATGGCAGCTAGTGTAGAATCTTCGAGCGGACTACTTAAATTAGACAATGACTAAAGTTGTATAAGTAGCTAGTTGTATACTCTTTCCATGGTTGCCCTCTGTGGTTGTAATGCAACCATTAGCTGAATGTACTATCAATAAAATCCTGGGTCACAAGTACTCACCTTAATATTAAAAAAAAAAAAAAAAAAAAAGTAAAAAAAGTTAAAAAAGTTAAAATTATATATAAAGAACCTAACTATCTATATATTAAAAGAAGGAAGATAAAATAGGTCTCTAATAAAAAATAATCAGATGATTGATAACATGATCCTAATGTGACTGCTTAAATTAAAAAATATATATACATTGTACTCTACTAAAAATTTTTTAAAAACCATAATCTTTAACAGTATTTTTTTGATGTTTTTTTAAAACTTCACTTGATAACTACCAAGTTAGCCTTTTTTTTATTTCAATTATTCAAACTTACAGAATTAAAATAAAAAAAAAATTATTAAGCATAAAATATATAGTCGTTAAGAAACTATTGCTCGAAGATAAAAAAAAATCAAAAATTTAAAATATGTTTGTAAATGCTGCCCTCTTATGATAATTGTGTAATTTTATTGACTATCAATATAAAAAATTTCAGACCCGGATATGAAAACCAATTTATTTTTTTTTATTTTTTTTGTATCTCATAAGAATTTTATGTTTTTTTTGTTGTACCACCTAAATTACTCAAACCCTCATAAAAAAAACAAATTTCCTATAATTATTAACCGAAAACCAGTTAAAAAAAAAAGTCATAATAGGATCGATTAACACCTTATTTATAAATTCTGTTAACATACGGATCATCCCTTCTTTCTCTTCTATTCATACCAACGGATTTTTCGAGTAGAGATCGCGTTCACCATTTTTGTTTAATTCGCTTTTGGTTTCATTTTGAAATAAATATGCGAAAGAACAAGCACACTTGCGTAAACTCTTTACTGGATAGAGAGATATCTATCCCTAACCTAAATTTACAACTTCGTAATAATAGAAGGCTGTACACGTATTTCTACCCGAACGAAACAATTTTTAACGTGAATGTTCCTAATTCATACTTTCGAAGATTTACACCGGACGGTGACGTACGTATCGAGCATATACGACTGTGCCTCTTCAAAATTCTTACGCGTCGCGCTCATATTGACCTGAATCCTTGACCGACTAGTATATGATATGCTTTTCACGTTGCTTACGCAATATACAACTCTTTCGTTTTGAATACGCATCTCTTGAAACTCCTTTGGATGCTAATACATTAATCAATTCATACAACGCATATCCTTAAATTTTGCTTTAATTGGAATCTTCGCGAATGCTCGTGTTTTTTTCTTAACATACAAGCACTTTTGATAAATTTTTCTCTCTCGAATACGAACGTACCATCATATCAAATCATTCGGAATTTCTTTGTAAAGATTTCTGTTTGATCACGACAAATCATAAATATGTAATATCATAAATTTTAAGTTACGCGTTTTTTTATTTTTATTTTATTTTTTAAGTTGAAACCAATAATCATTTAGATGATACTTGCATCTTCCTTGCCCTCAAATTGCCAACCTGAAGAGGCTCGTCTATATCCTTGTTCATTGAATTGTATACCAAATTTCGATGACATCACCTTTTATCTTGTCGAAATAATTACTGGAGAGGTAAAAAAAAAACAATATAATTTCGATAATTTATGTCATAAGTTTCTTTTTGCTAAGTAGCGAATTTATTAATGCTATGTATAGGTGTGTGATAAGCGTACTTATAAAAATGAATGTATACATTTATCATATCACTCTGGCGTTAGTTTTATTGGCAATTTATTTTCTATCATGTCAATCCAGAATCAGATAATTCATATTTTACATATCAAGGTACGAAAGCTTATGTTTTTACCAATCTAGATCAGAAATTACAATATTACAATTTAATGTTAAATATTGTAGGATGATGGTCACTTTGTTGATGTACAAGATATAGGATGGTTGAATTATGACGATGACCAACTTGTGTTGGCTCAATATCGAAATTTTGACGCCCAATTTCAGATTAACAAAAGGACAATGGTCAACCCAATTCTTTATAAAAACGCGACATCAGAAATTATGGAGTTGGATGAAGAGAAATTAGAATTGCCATCATTAGATTCTGCGTTATCAGCTTATTCATTCAGTAGTCCAATGGATAATAAAGTTCCTTCAAGCTCTTTCATTGGCTCTAGACAAAATTCTATGCAAGGTATTTCAGAACTATTATCGACACCCCCTACTGAAAAGGTAATCAAATTGAATTATATGGTGACGTTCACTTTACCGACAATCATAGAATATGGTCAAATGTGTTGACCTTTGTTATTTATCAAACAGGATGTCGCTCCAATTAGTGGTATCAAACAAAGACTGCTCACTTATTTATTTAAAAAAGCTTATGATATTGATGACGGGTAACAAAACTATCATACGTAACTTGATCCATTTTATTAATTATATTAATTTACGTATAATTTATAACATCACAGTGGTTTAGCTTTACGTCACTTTTATCAGATATTCGGACAACTTTCCTCACTTGTCATGTGGAAAATCCAATTTATCGATGAATCCAGATTTCTTATTAAATTTGGAAATGTCGATTGCGTTACCGGACATGTTAGTATTCATTAAATGATAGGGTTATAAAAATTTTTTTTCGTATTGCTGGTAATATTGATTTTACATCTATTTTAGCACAATGATGGTGCATCACATACGGCTTTTTTTGTTATATATAATTTTCTTACAACTGAAGTAATTTCAGTTTTTGATAATGCGTCTGAAGAATTTCTCACTGAATATGAAACTTTATGTGATGTTCTTCAACAAGTCGCTTTCAATGAACCTTTTTCATTTAACTCTGCCTACTCGAATAATATTTATGCTAGAGAGAATTTCAGAAAATATTTGTATTCAATTAGACATGCTCGAAACGGAGGGTAAGTTGTAATACTTTAATGCTGATTATTTTGCTGTTCACACTGCCAGGATTACATATCACATGTTATTTAGACCATTTCAAGCTGTAAAGCGAGTTCTTGCATCATTACCTTATGGTCCCCAGACGTGTAGCGAAAGTCCTTACTTCGATCATGCTTTGTTTTCCTATGATGATAAAACAATATCTGCTTTTGATAGGTAATATGCATAAAAACATTTCATTATAACCTTTCTTAGGCCATAATATTTAATCAATTTTAAATAAAGGCCTAGACCTTGTTATGAAAACGTTGCCAAGTTTTATTCAAGAGAGACTAAAGAGTTGAAATTTAAAATTGTATTTGGATTGCCAGATAGAAGTAGTAATCGAATTAAGTGAATATTTCTTTTTCATTAGCCTTTCTTTATTCGTTTATCTTTTTTCTTTTAACCGAAGTCATTCTTAGGAGATACGTGGTGTTGATCGCACATCCATGTTTTCCTTTCATGATTTCTATACAATATACAGTTCTTCAACCAATAGTCATCAACTTTCATGTCCGGTCATCTTAATTACTACTAAAAAGTCCAATTATTCTGTTAATTATTTAGTAACGATACATTAATTGATGCATTTTCATTATTTAAAGTATGTAATCAGGAATGAGGTTTTGATTTCTACGGTCTTTTACTTTGTCATCCATCATGTAAATAGAATATACTATGACTTGCATCGATAATTGAGCTAAAACTAGCATTACGAAAGGTTTTTTTTAATTGGTTATCATGTCAGATTATTAGAGCTGTGATTCTTTGAATATCCGTTATGACCAATGAATATTCGCGGGTTTTGTTCATTCGCAAATGATATCGAATAAAATATACAGAATTTATATGGATATTCATAGAGAATTCACGGATATTTAGAGAAGCATGTCTAGATCGTGTGCCGGGTTATGCAAGTTGTCGATTACTGACGGTCACGCTTTATCTCTGTATAATTTAAGTTTTTTTTAAAAAACTTCGAAGATATTTCAGCAACTATCTAATTAAATTCAATAAATTTTCTTTTATTTTATTCTGCAGAAATGTAAAATTAAAATAAAAAACAAAGTTCATTGAATTTGGTTAGGTGGTTGTTGAAATATCTTCAAAGCTTTGAAACAAATTCAAAATATAGTACTTAAAAATACTAGCTATAGTAAAAGTTTTTTAAAAACTTTGAACGAGTATGTCTTAGAAACTACCTAGCCAAACCAGGTGAACTTTTTTGAAAATAATTGCTATCGCAAAATTTTCATAAAACTTTAAAGATACTACGACAATCATCTAAAAAATTTGAACTTTTATTTTTATTTTACGGAAATATAGAATCAAAATAAAAAAAGTTTGTCAAATTTGGTTTGGTAGTTACTAAGATATTTTTAAATAGTTGTAATATCTTGGTAGTTATTTAATTAATTTGATGAATCTTTTCTATAGCATATAAAAAAATTTAATTAAATAATTGTTAAAATTTTTTTTGATCAAAGTTTTTAAAAAAATTAAAATTTAAATGAAAATATCTTAGTAATTATATAATAATTTTTAAAATTTTAAGCAAAAATAATTTAGAAATTCTTTAATTAAATATTTAATAAAAAAAAATATTACTATTTATATTAAGTTATACAAATTTGATTTAAACAAACTTAGTTGATTAGTTTTTTTAAAAAAATCTAATATATTGTAATAAAATTTACTAAAAAATTACTATGTAATATATATTTTAAAAATAAAATTTAAAGTATGTAGTAATCTAGTAAAGTAGACAGGTTATTAACCTTCAAGTGCAGTTTAAAGTTTAAATTCCATAAATAATAAATTTTAAAAATTATATTTATATTATAGTAACTAATTCTATTAATTAGTTAGATTAGCATATTTGTAATTTTAAGTTATACAATTTTAAATAAAAGCTTAGGACATTTATGTAAAATGTAATATTATATATATATAGAGAAATATTAATAGTTAGTGTTGCATAAGACTTTGATGCAAATCTACAATAAGACCACTAGGTGCAGAAATTAAAAAAACTAAAAAGTTAGAAGCTTACTTAAAAATCTCAAGTAAAAAGATAACACAAATAATTAATAATACTATTAGACTAATAAAAATTCATAAAACATCTTTAATAAAATTAGGTAAATAAATCAGACAACAGATATATATAAGAAGCATATATATCTATCAGATTATTGAAATTATTAAAAAATATATATATATAAATATACTATACTGGATCATCTGAATTAAAAGTAAAAGTCCTGTTAGTTTTGAGTTGTAATTAGTAAAAGAAAATAAAAAAGATATTAGAAAAATAAATACTAAGATTTAAATAAATCTTATAAGAATATATATATGAAATATAGAAGATTTCAGTAAATTGAAGGTGTGGCAACCTAGTAAAGTGGTCAGGTTGTCAACTCTTCAAGTGGTAGATTGGGTGTTTAAATCCTATCGACAGTGAAAATTTGAATAATCACCTATGTAATATTTGTATTACAGCAACTATTACTAATGATTGGATTAGGATACTTGTAATGATGGTCACACCAGTATGACTAATAGGTCATAGGACATCTGTGCAATGTTGGAGTTATACAAAAGAATGCAAACTAACAAATCAGACAATGCAAACACTAGATAAGTCCTTGTGGTTGTATAAATCTATTAAAATTAGATAATAAGAAGTTTATTTAAGAAAACCTAAGTAGAGAGATAGCTGAATCTTCAATAGTCCTACTGTAAAGACTAGCCTGGCAAAATGGATACCAAGGTCTAGTATTCAGTTGTAGTAGCCAGATAGGCAAGAACCTTTAGATTGGAAGTTTCAAAGATATCACCAACCAGGCTGCCAGAATGAACTGAAGAAAAAGAATATTGGACTGATGTGATATACTGATAAACTGATCATAGTTTTATATAGACTATCTAGATTGGAAGTTTGGTAAAAAGGCAGAGATATACTAAAGTACCAGGCTTATGCTGTGAAGTAAATGTTGGGATTTAAGTGAACTTTACAAGGGTACAGTGTTTAATAGTTAAACTCTAACTGCAAGTATTAGTTCTGCTATAGCAATATCTAGGTTAGTTGTAAAAATAGATACAGAAGGCTCTGAGAGGTTTATCTTAAGAATAAATTAGTCTTAAGGTTAAGATGATAATCTTAGTATCTAAGTATGACCCAGTGAGTTAATACAGATTACAGGTTCAAAGAGTTTAAATTAGAACACCCAAGCAGAAGTATTAGGTATAACAATTGGTAAAAAACCTTTAGATAAACTCTTTAAATAGGTAATATAAAAAAGTTATATGTGTAGCCAATTGTATACTCTTCTGTAGTAGTTCATTAAACCACAATACCAATAAGTGATTAATAAAAGTCAAAAGACCAAAGAGGTTACTTTAATAATAATAATAATAATAATAATAATAATAATAAAGATTTCAGTAGATTTAGTACAAAATTAAAATAATTTAGTAACTATAATATATTTTTATTAATTTATCAGATTTGTTAGTAGAATAGAGTGAATACAGTATTTAAAGTGTTTAAATAAAAGAACTATAGATAGGTCTTAAGTATAGCAACTAATATAAAACTTTCAAGCAGATTATTTAAATTAGATAATAACTAAAGTTGTATAAATATTTAGTTATATACTTTTTTTATAGTTATTTTTGTAATTTTTATACAACAACTACTAATTAAAATATATTATTAATAAAATTCTAGATGACAAATACTTATCTTAATATTAAAAAAATAAAATAAAATAAAATTTAAATTCCATAATCTTTTAAATACTATAAAATATAACAATAAACAATTGTAAGATGTAATAACCTAGTAAAGTGAATAGGTTGTCAACCCTTAAATAGCAGGTCTAAGGTTCAATTCTTATAGACAATAAATTTTGGAAATTATACCTGTATCATAGTAACTGTCTTTTGCTGATTAGTTAGATTTTGGGCATCTGTAATCTTAAGTACACTAAGTTGGATTTCATCTGCATTGAGAGCTTGAGGCATCTATACAAAATGTAATATTATACATATATAGAGAAATGTGAAAAATCAGTATCATATAAGGCTTCAGTGCAAACCTATAATAAGAACACCAGACATAGAAGGCTATAAAACTAGGAAGACTAAAACTCACTTGAAAATTTCAAGTAAAAAGATAGCACAAACTTTCAATAGTACTATTAGACTGATGAAAGCCCATGCAACACCTTTATAAGAACTATTAGATAAACCAAATGACAAAGATATATAGAGAAGTATATAACTAACCAAGCTGCTAGAATTGCCAAAGGAAAAAAATATATAAGTATACCATATTAAGCCATCTGAATTAGAAGTCAGGGAAGTCAGTTGATTTCAAGTTGTGACTAGTAGAAGATGATAAAGAAGAAGTTAAAAAGATGAGTATCAGAGTTTGGATAAACTTTACAAGAATAATAGTGTTTTAATAGATAACACTGACTGCAAGTTTTGGTCTTAGTCATAGCATCAAACCAGATTAGCAATAAAAAGAAATACAGCTCATTCTGATAGATTTGTCTCAAGGATAAAATAGTTTGAGGATTATAGTACTATAGTTAAAAATAAATAGATCTGAATTTGTAACTTGGTAAAATTAATACTAGGGTCAGATCAGAGAGTTTAAATAAAACATTTAAGCAAAAATGTTAGATATAACAACTAGTAGAAAACCTTTAGGCAGACTTCTTAAATAGGTAATATAGAAAAGTTATATGTATAGCCAGTTGTACACTTGTTTGATAGTTCAATATACTGTAAATACATTTGTATAAAACATGTATCTGATATAAGTATTATTAAAAAGCTAGGATCAAAAGGATCACTATAATACAAAAAAAAAAACAATAAGCAATTATATTTGAGATTAATTTATTATTTTATATATATAAATCAGATTTAATAAAATATTTATTTATTATTAAAATTATTAAATTTTAGAAATATTTTTAAATATAATTTAAAAAAAAGCTTTTAATAATTAGATTGTTAATAATTAAATATAATTTTTAAATTTTAATAATATAAGTTAGTATTAGAAACTATTAAAAAGATCAAAAAAAGTTTTCTCTGTAAATCTCTTGATCAAAAATTAGTGAAAAGCAAAATATAAGAAAAATACAGAAATCTATTAGAAAGCAATATTTAGGCTTTTAATAAAAAAGACAAAGCAGCAAAAGTTACATTAAGCTAGAAACTAAGACACAAGTAGAGATAGCTTAGAGATAATATAGTATAAGAACAAAAATTTTAAGGAATTCCTATAACTCTGTTATAAAAATCAATTAGGTTATACAGAAATATAACAAG